AAAAACTAACACATTTAAAACAAATTTGAAGTTTAAATACTATGATTGTAAAGAACTTCATGTCGTTAAAAAAATAAGAACAGATTAGAGTAGACATTAGAGTCACGTGTTCACTAAGTTAACTAAGAATTGTCATGGCGGCGGCCGCCTTCAGGATTGTCTTACACTGCCTGCTTGATATAAGCCACTCTTTTTTACTTTTCACTTCGAAATTTGATTTTTGCTTTCAACAAAGAAGAATATGAACACTGTTTTTTTTCTCAAAACAGCATTTAAAAATACATTACTTACCTTGGGACAAAATAACTTCCATCGATCCTCGACTTTGAAGTAAAACGACTCGGTTTAACAACCTCTGAGAAACACACGTCGGCCTTGCCTGAATGGACAATATCTAGTTGAGCTAAAAGTGTTGAAATGCTGTGTTTTTTTGCCCCAAAGTATCGGAAAAAGACGTCGAAGTTTGCTGAAGTCCGTAAGCTCTTTCCACGTGCAAGACTAAACGAAAACATGAATATTAATTTCAAAGATTATTTGCAATTCATATGAGTTTTACGACCTTGGCAGACACCCTGAATGTATTTGAAATACGAAGTGGGATGACTTGCCAAACTAAGTTTCATGAAGAGTTACAACTATCTTATCGTTTAAGTTATAAAAAAAATTGATCCAAACTTATTTGCAGAGGACCTTTCACCTCCCTTTGCATTTCAAGCCAACGGAGTTCTAATACTTTTTGATGTATACCCCTGTCGACGCATAACGTAGGGACGGTCCAAGGCTGTATTCTAAACTTTCCGCCCAGAAAACGTAGTTTTATTTTATCTGCATTTCTTTCGAGGCGGGAGAAGAGAAACAGATGGAGAAGCGTTGGACAAGCAGCCAACCGGTCAAACAGGTTTTTTTCTTTACAGAAAAAAATAACCAACTTTCCAAATATCGCGTGGTATTCAGTTGGTATTCGATTCGTGGGTTATTTGTACTCTACTTAGTGCAGTTGGATAATAAGTTTGGAGAACACGAGAAAAGCGTAAGAGTTACTAGTGACACAGCCAAGAGCAATTATTACTTCTCAAGTGCTCCCAGAACTTCCCATGGCCAAATGCATTGACACATCGATATACTCACGGCTAAAAGCACGGGTGATCAATTCTTTTATGGAGCGCAAGATGAATCTTACATATCTATACCCATCGTTGTTCTGATCTAAGCAATACTAATAGTAGTTTAAACTCCTTCGAAAACAGCAAGCGAAGGTTTTCTCTTTTAATCAAACTTCCTTTTTTAATTATTATTTTAGCATTCGTTTCACTGTTACAAACATCAAGAGTGAACTAATTGATCACAACAGTAGATTTTGAAAGTCGGCTGTCGTCGTCATACATCACATAACTAATTATTGTTTATAAATGAGCCGCCTCCGGTTCATTGTACTCAAAAATGCTGGATACAATTTTACATTTTCAAGTTCTTGTTTAAATTAAGAGGACTTATGACTGTAAATCATTGGATTGATAAGGAAACTCGATAGTTGGAAAATTACAGCCATGCGCAAACAGTGGAATATCCGCCCACATGATCAAAATCCAACGGAATAACCTGGGTTTACGGCAAAGATGCTCAATTGGTTTGTAAAACTTTGAAAAAACAGCCGTATAAACTGTGTTAAGACCAGTTACTGCGACTTAACAGATCAGCTCTGACCTGGTCCTCACCAGGAAGTATTTTGCAGCTAAATTCCCTGGTACATCAACAAGACGATAGACCAGATCCTTGATCGTTATGTGAAAGAGCATGAAATCAGACACGTGTTTTTTAAAGAAGCTCGCGAAAAATTTCATGTTAGCGAGGACTCCAAGGATCACGAGTCTCATTAGAGTGAAGAAAACGAGAAGAGCCCAGATTAGATGGGAGAGCGTTGAATTCAAAGAATGAATTTGTAGTTCAACAGGAAAGGAATAAGTCATAAATCACTTGAAGGTTGAAAAATGCACTCATCTGAGTTAACGACCTTGCGTTGTAATTTTGCATGTTTCAGGCAAACATTATTTGACAGAGACAGGAATTGAAACACCAAGCCAATCATATCCAAGTAGATAGTTAATTAATTAAAAAAATTATAAGACTTCCCGTGAGATATTAGTCGATTCTGCTGTTATTTTTGCTAACATATTAGCATGACTTGCGTAAATAATAAGGTTATTGAGATGAAATCATCATTATGCGAGTTCATTTGTTATCTTGATGCTCAATTCGACAGTCCGTTATTCCATGATGAACTATGTGTAGAGCTATTTTCCAGAAACTATTTTCCATTTTTAAGCCCATGTTTAAACTCAGAGGAGTAATGACTGTAAATTATTGGATTGATAAGGGAACTCGACAGTTGAAAAACCGAAACAGTGATGGCGACAGCTGCGTTAACCTGAACAGCACCTAACGACTCCATCAGTTCTTTTAATTGTGGCGTTCCCAGGCAAATCACAAAACCAAGAACTATCAGCACAAGCATTTGAAACGCTCTTCTTCTTGATTTAAATGCGGCTTGATTCAACACACGATCACGACTTTTTCTCCAAAGAAAGAGTGCGATTTTAGAGTAGGCACTACTTATTAACACTAGAGGCACAAGAAAACCTGAAATGAAATAAAATATTGCCAATATTTTTTTACTGGCACCGTCTTTTGTGGTGATGCAGATCTGAAAAACGTAAGTTGAGTTGGAATAATCGGCAAGATTAAAAGTAAAAGTACCAATTCCATCGTTGAAAAACTGTGGCAATGCGCAAACAGTGGAATATCCCCAAACAACCAAAATCCAACGAAAAAACTTGGGTTTACGGCGAAGATGTTGAAACGGTTTTGTGATGCTCTGGTGCCTGTCAAATGCAATGACAACCAAACTTGAAAAAACAGCAGTGTAGACAGTGTAAAGACATGTATCTGCGAATTTACAAAACAGCTCTGACCTGTTCCTCACAGGGAAGTATTTTGCAGCTACAAACCCTGGAACAACAACTAGACGATAGATCAGATCCGTGATCGATAAGTGAAAGAGCATGAAGTTTGACAAGTGTTTTTTAAATCGACGACCTCGAACCAGTACGCGGCAGACTTGAACATTAGCGATGACTCCACAGATCACGAGTCCCAAAAAAGAGAAGCAAATGAGAAGAACCAAGGTCAAATTAGGAAGCGCTGAACTCAAAGATTGGATTTGTGGCTGAAAAATAGAGAAATTGGCCATAATTCACTGGAAAGGCTGAAAAAATACACTCGCCTTTAACTTTGAGTCAACGGCCCTGCATGTTTCAGGCGAGCATTATTTGACAGAGTCAGCAGATGAAAAGTCAAACCTGTCACATCGTAGTAAAACGTTCATAAAAATAACTAGTTGAAAGACTTTCCGTGATATATAGTTGATCCTGCTGGTGTCGTTTCTGGACTAAAATATAATCAAGACATGTAAATAAAAGGTCATTTAATTAAAAGCATCGGGTGAGTACATTTTTAATGTGATGTTCTATTCGACAATCCGTTAATCAATAAAAAACTTTATCAAGGACTGTATCCGGTATGAAAATGGAGTTTATAAATTTTTTTCGACAAATCTGATAAGATTTTTAAATTCTATGGAACGAAAGATCAAATTAAGTTATTCATAGCATTGAAAGCGATAATAAAAATTATCCGCTATATCAGCCCATCTGTGGTTCTCTATCGATCGGTGCTGGATACTGATCAAAAACTCCATTAGGATTTTTATGGGCTGTGTACCTTATACTACATGGAACCAAAAAAACACCAACAACAACAATTGCAACAAAAACAAAGCAAGGTCGCTTCTTTTATCTAATCTACGTTTTAACGGAGATGTCTCAGTCGCAGTAAAGTGTTGTAGGCGAAGGGATGGCCCGTAATTCAGACGTCTTATCAGATCAAGAGTGAGTGAGCTCTGTGCCGGGCACAAGCAAAAATCTCCCGCCCCCTCCGCCCTCCGTTCCTCCGTTCCCACAATCAAACCGAGTTAAACGATGACCGACTGTGAGTTTCTAGTGAGAGCTAACTCGGTAAAAACCTGGCAATGTCAAAACGACAAATCGCACTCTTGCACACTTTACCAGTTATGGGCGTTTATTTCTGAATATAAAATTATAGCAACATAACAAGTACAAAATTAAAAGCGTATAACAGGTTTGTCAGAAACTGAATACATCATGGTATAAAACCGGTCGTATATTAAAAAAGGGCGAATGAATAGTACTAAATTAGTGTAACGATAATAATAATAATAATAACACAATAATAATAATAATAATAATTATGGTGATGATAGAAGATAACAATCTCAACGTTTCCATAATAATAATGCTATAGATAAGTTACGTGCGTAAAGAAATAGCACCTGTACAGTGAGAGAATGATCCTCTCATAAATTTCCGAATTCTTAGTTTAACTCATTTGATAGAGTACGTCATTACAGGCTATATTTTGAATCATTAGACGTACGTCAGGCTTGGTTTAGGCAGTTATTGCGTTCTCAAAGGTCTCACAAACGAGAGACATAAAAACGTACAATCATTTATTTATGTTGCATGTCCTTCACGATTGTTTTGGAATGGTTCTATGATCTGTTGTTTGACCAATAAGCACTAAGAAGTAACTTCTGCTACGCTAGATAGCAAATAACGCACTGCAAAAAGCAAAAAAAGGTTCGACTTTTCTGTACGTTACTGGCACTGCCACGGCAGACAATCTATCATGTGATCTCTGGCTTCAAAGGGCCTATCAGCTAATGTCGTATGGAGCAATCAGGAATTTCCTGACGACCGGTCCATTTTAAGGAGCTTACATATAATTATAGCAAGTGATCGATATTGGCTTGTATTTACACAATTTTGCGAGCAACTTCACTTTGAGATTCAATAAAAAATAATGTAGCTATTTCTAACGACCCTCGGAACAATGCTCACTTCAAAAATTTAATGACGTACGATACGCCCCTAATCAAACCCAGCTGTCTCTTGAGACGTTTATGATTCGTTTCAAATAGGAACACGATAACAAGAGTGGTTCGTTTAAAACTACAGCTTCTCAATTCCGGGAACTGTTTTCCGCAGACGTCGACGTGCTCATCATACTAAGGAATTTTTTTTTTTCGAATGTAGCAATCTTAGGTAATTCTCGGGCACCCGTCAGTTTCAATAAGGGATTTAAAATAAAGCAGATTCATTCAGCCTACGTCCGCCAAGATCTTCACATACAACAGGTCCTGACCATACTAGATCTCTTGACAACTGTCCCTTTCATCACAGGCATGTGAAGACTCTGGGTAGTCACTTGCCCGCGTGAAATCAGCGCGGTTGCGCAGCACACACCCATCTGACCAACAGGAGTGAAGCCATTTTCTGATCCCGGTAATCTCATCACGAACACTCCCACGTCAGCTTCGTGATTTTCCGTTGGTTGGATAGCAATAGCCGATAGTGGTTTCTGTACCAAAAATAAAGACATATTAATTTGAGAACATGGCGAAAAGAGGCGGCACTCTTCAAAAGGTGACCAAGCAAGTATTAGTATGTATCGCGCACAAGAAATAGTCGGTTGATGCCTTTGGGAGTGCCTGTGCCAGTTACAGGAACGACGGAACAACACTTGGAAACAATGAGATGTCGATATAAAGCGCGGCTTCCGTTATGCGCCGTGACCAGTTGACGAAAAGAAGAAAACGAAACAATAAGAATTCGAAGGTAATAGCCATGATTAACACCAAAAGAGAGAAGAACCAAATTAGGATTGTGTATTTAAGCTCGCATATGATTGGTGGAGTAAATGGCGCGACTTTGTAATCTAATCAAAGGGTGACGTGAAGTAAACCAAAACAGTCCTGAATTACTTTAGCGACAAGTCAACCATAGCCAAAGGAACATCTGTCTCCATGACAAACGTTTTTAATCAAAACTGTAACAAAATTCTCGAACGTGATTGGTTATCACCAGCCTTATTTGAGCACTAATAGGACAGTTTACGCGTCATGCTTGTAATTGGACACTGCAATAGGACAATTGTGGGGACAGTTAATACGTCAAGCCTGTGTAAGTGGACAAAACGCGTCATGTGTGCGCGCTGTTGTCTCGCATTTCGCCGAGTTAACTGTTGTCTTTTTATGAAAACGTATAACCGATGACAAGTTCCTTTCTCAAATTTTGTCATAGTTTTGATTAATTGGTAACAGGAATTTGTGTTGTCCAATTGTCTGTAATCATACTCGTGATGAACAAATCTGACCCCCGCTTCGCGCTCGTCCGATTTTGTTTATCACTTGTGTGATTACAGACAGAATTGGACTCCACTCGGTCCTATTACCATCATTAATCTCAAGACCACAGGAGAAATTACCGATAAATTGCTAGGTAATTGGGGTGATAATCTTCAGCAAACAACAAACATAGAACGTGCTAATGAAACCTACCTTCTTTGTTTCTAGTTGAACTGGCTCTGTGAGAGCCAAACCCACTTTGGCAAATGGTCGGCTGGCCATTAGTTTCATCTCTTCATGACGATGCTGCGAGTAAAAAATGCGTTCATCAGTCAACTGATTGGAATTAAACTTAGTGTGGTCAGAGAAAACATTGAAAAAGTAGGTTTATCTCGCATTATTTCGCAAGTGCAACGACAAACCTCGGTACAACTGGTCAGGGTTGGATCTTTATTTAGCACGAAAGGCAGAAACATTGGTTTTAAATTGTTTTCTCTCGCTTCATAACCTTCGTGTTTAAGGAGATCCCGGACAGTTTGGAACTGAAGTTAAAATAAATCGAAAGAACTGGATGGTAAGAGCAAAAAAAAAAACGGTTCTAACAGTTCGGCTCGATACAATAATTAGTAGCATTATTTTTCAAGAAACCGTAAACTTTCAAGAGTACGCGCGCCGGAAGGTTTCTTACCCGAGCCATGACATAGTTTGAATATCTGACTTTAATCTTCCACGCAAGGGCCACCACGAACAGAAGGGAAAAGAAACAGCTGCAATAAAAAAGGAAAAATGACCATCTCGAAAAAAAACCACACCAAACTTGTTTATAGGATAAAGGAAGAATTCCCACCCCTCACATCCCCTTCAGAAATTCTCTCTTCTTTAACAACGCAGGAAATTTGAAGCAATAGTCGACAAACTAATAAGGAGCTAACTTCGAAACGATGTCCTAACTTCTCCCTATAATTTGTTATCAATACACTGTCCAGCAAACAGGTAATATGAATATTCACATTCACATTTAAGTAGTTATCTTGATCTAACACCAAATTCCCATAACTATTTCACAAGGAAATGAGTAGCAGCTAGAAGGGATGATAAAACAACAAGAATTGTACAGTATCCTAAAAAAACAAGCGCTAGAAAGAGTTCTACTTACGCGAAAAACGTAATAAAGAAGTTGAGAATCAGGAACTTGCGACTCTGGAGAAACGCAATCTAAAAAACATTTTCCAAACGCATAAAATTAGTTAGCATATCCAGTGGCATATAAAAGAAAAGATAAAGGATGAGGGTGTGACAGTAAAGGATAAGAAGAGATAAAACTACATGACAAAGTAACTTTGACACACGGAACCTAAAAAGCAGATCTCTTTGAGAAGTTAATCCAAGTGAGTTTATCAGGACATACCTCAAGGGTAATGAATCCTTTGATGTCAAAAATGTGAACCTTAAAGGTGAATTTGTCCCGGCGGCCAAACGGAAAGACGCCATATGAGAAGGTTTGCTGGTAGGACCCTATTTCCCGAGAGTGCACGAGTGTTTCTTCCTCTACAGCATCTGTGAGAGAAAGAGAGCAGCATTCTATAAGTCAAACTCATTGAACGTTGATCAAAATAACAGGAGAGCTCCAATGCTGATATACATGTAGCTAAGCTTTTTGCTTTCAAATGCAGACAAAAACACAAACAATCATAAACAAATATAAGATCAATCTTACTGCAAAGATAGCAAAAAGGTATGTCTTTTTAATAAAAATGTCGGTAGCATCGAGATAATATTGAACAGCTTCAGTCAATTCAACTTAGAGCGACGTGATTGCACTTGGGGGCGAAATCAAGCAGCTTGAGGGCGACGTGACTTGGGCCGACATGGCGAGAGCAGCATTAGAGCTAGTTCGTCTTCTTTTCTTAGGGTCGAAACTTTCGACTGAAACTGAAACTGAAACTTACTTTTATTCTCGCTGCCGTCGAGTAACTCAGCCATTGTAGAAGCATATATTGACATTGATACCCTCCCTTGCTAGCTAAGCACGAAAGAACGCCGTCGTATGTTTAACTATAATACTTGTGATAGTATTAGGCGATTCTCTATCAGCTAACCTGAGCTGTACGACAAATTCATCAGAGCAGACTTGCCCTCTTTGACTCTCACAGTAATTTCCACATCGATGTCGTCCTGTAAGGAAGTTAACTTGCTGTTTTAAAGAATTTTTAACAAATTAAACTGAGAACCGTAAAAACTAATCTAATCTTTTACCGGTTGAGAAGTTCAAGAAACCGCCAATTGGAAATTTCTTTTGCTTAGACAACGTCCCTCAACGTAATACAAGGTTTAACTCTCATTTTTCTTCGGAAAAATATTAATCTCTATATTCTCATTATGAAAAGTGAGGAAATATTTTCGCATTTTTCTGCAAAGTCCATTTACAATGATAACTTAAACTCCCAATACCTCATTCAAAATTCTCCTTTAAGCTATCGTCACTCCTTTGTAGATACGTTCACAAAAAGTTTTTTTAATCTATTACACCATCTGGCTTGTATAGGTTGGCAATTCTCATCACATAAAAACTGCTAAATTTTTGCAAGAAAATCCATTTTTACCGCTTTAAAGGAGTTTCAAAAGGGTTTAACAGTCTCCTGGTTGAAAGGAGAATGGTTCGAGAGCAGCAACGCCACAAATTACCTAGAGATTTTTAATGTCATCCCTCTAAAATTAACAGATCAAAATGTTTTTTTTTGTGGAACCAAAATGTTAGAAGCAACTGCAGAGATCAGCTCACCTTTTCAGGAATGTTGAGGAAGCTTATTCTTGTCTTGTTGGACACATTGTACGTGTATTCATAATTACTGTTGAGTTTATCTACCAAACAAATATGCAGTGGTGTTTCTATTAAGCGCATTAACATACCAGTGAGTTTACAATTTTATGAGGATAATACCTCAGCTCAAGAGATTATAACCTCAGTTTACATTCTCTTGTTCAGCCTTAGTCTCCAGTGCAGATGGCTTGGAGGGAACTTCGTTTGAATTTAAGGGGAGAGGTGTTGAATAAAATACTTTTTAACATCACTTTTTTTCCGAGTGAATTTCTTCCTTTCCAAAGTCTTCCTCTGCTTTTACAATCCAGCCAGGCAGGCTTACTCAGCATGCAAGATGCACACAAGATGGACTGTAATCTGATTTAAATACTCCCAGTGAAATAAGGATAAAAACTATATTTCTCTCACAGACTCGTTACTGTTATGAAGGAAAAAAGTGTTTTTGCTTGCTTTTGTTTTTGGCTCGTCAAGCAGTCGTTGCCTCTGCCTTTGAACTGAGAAGAGCGTTACAAACACGAATAGATTGGTCTAGCATGACCGCTAAGTAAGTTAGGGATTAGAAGGAACTCTTTCTTTAGTAAAATTAAATAACTTACTGTAACAGTGACCGCCATTTGTTGCGTTACCAACGATCACCGTGGAACGAACTCCGTCGTCACATCTGTGAAAGAGTAAATCAGGTAACAATCTTTCAATTCCACAGCGAGAAATGCTTGGTAAAATTGCTTTGGTACGAAGAACTTCAAGCGCAAAGAGACATTTTGTAAGCAACGACTGAACTTACCTTTCGCAGTTATCCCCAGTCACATAACGGTCAAAACAATCACAGACTCCAGTCTTAACATCACATGTGTCTGCGTGACCGTTACATTGGCAAGCTGGAGACATGATGAACAAGACAATCACGCTTTTTTCACTATTGTGTTACATGGAACTTTTGCAGGTACCAATATTTTCCAATTTCATAAATTGTTCTCGATCCGTAAAAATAAACTATAGCAAAAGCAAAAATTCCGTCTAAATTTGACATCTTCAGTAACATGAAAAACTCCGCATGCGAACCAAGTGTTGAGGTTAACGCGCGTCTCCGAGTCACTATAAATTTTCCCTGAGATCTCAAACCCCAGTGTCTCGAACATTTGTGGCACGCTCCTTAGCGTGTTTTTGGATAAGTGCGTCATTTCACCGATGAGTCTCCCCAATATCTGACCCCCCCACCCCACCCCTGTTAGTTTCTCGAACTTGAGGCGCGACCCCGAACGAATAGTTGTGTCAGGGTCACATTTTAATCTCACCCTGATATCCTAGACCTCACTGCGTCCCATTTCCGCCGTTCCTCCTCGAGAATGTCGGAAGAATAGATCTTAAATCTACACGTTGTTGTATTATGAGATCACGATTCATCTGCTTTTCTCTCAATCATCTTTGAGGAAGAAGGTTGCAGTTCTTCAACTATTAATAACTACAATGAACTAGAAACGATTTACAGTACCTTCACACTTTCCACCATTCTTTGCATCACCGAAATAACCAGCCGCACACACCTCACAATGAGGCCCTGCAAAACAGTAAAACGGCAACAATTTAAGTTATACAAAATATAGAAAATAATAAATCTAGTGACGTAATGTTAAAAGAAAACAATAACTATAAGGTTGATAATACAAAAAAAAAAAAAGAGAAGGACAAGCCAAAAGGGGAATTGCCAAGATCGAACTAAAAAAAATTTGGGCTCAGTTTTTCGCGACACCCAATCCGTAAGTATCTAATTAAAGAAACTGTGTTGCTGCGTCGATGAAGTATCATAGGATAATTTGGTTTAATAAACTGGGATGATGTAATTTGGCCACCGTAAAGAGTTTCTAAAGCTTTAGGAATTCTTTTCAGCGGCCATTTCACATTATCAATCCAGTTTATAGAACAAAATTAATAAGATTAACAATCTGGCGTAACTGACAACTTGAGTTTAAAAAAAGGAAAACGTTTTTCCGTGGCTTCAAGAGGCAGTTTTAACTCACCGTCCGTCTGATGCTCGCACTTTTTACAGATGTTCTTATTGATGCATTTGCTGTGTCCATTACACTGGCAATCTATACAAGAATACAAAGGGCTCTTGTTTAGTAAGGAATCAATTAACAAACTTATAACTTGGAGAGGAGAAGAGCATTTTGGATTCAAACATAACTCGAGCTCTTCAACATGACGCATTCACACAGTCCACCAGTGTGAGTAAGTTGGAGCTTACTGTAATATAAAAATAAGTGGAGTTTTATTTCTTGCAGCAGCCGAGAACGTGGACCACTTAGTGTTATAAATACTGAAAAAATGCTAAGGGCACACTCTGGGGAATGACGTTAAGAACAAGGCAACCGTCTCTTAACCATTTGACCCCTTAGAGTGATGATCATCTAATTTCTCCTCATAATAATACCCCTGAATCACACATTATGGTCACGAGAATGAAGGAAATGATCACCAACTCAGTCAAGAGGTTCTTGATTATTAAACAAATTCTCCTTAACAGCACCTTAGGAAATGTATAGGGAACAGTATAGAGAATATGCATCCTAATGTCAAGGTTAAATCTACCTGGACACTTCATAAAGTACCAGCGGTCTGCTAGGCACTGGTTCATTGAAGAGTTTGTTGGTTTAGTAAAAGGGCCATCATCTCCTCCGTCCATACACTGCCCCAACCCAGTCCCTGATCCGTCATCACACCAGCCACAACCAGGAAGGGTGTGGCAGTCAGCACAAGTCTTCATGCCGGAACAGCGCACAGCTTTATAGAAGCAAACACAAATGCAAAGGATGACAAAAGTAAAGTAAAATGGACCTTATTCTGAAGAGAAATGTTTGTGATCAAGGATCTCAAGAAGAAAGTACTAAAAATCAGCAAATAACACAACGTAGTTTTAAAAGTTTAAATATGGCTATCTGAAATTTAGTAAAAAAAGTTAAAATTCAGCTAAGGCTAATCAGTGGTGTCTTTCAGTTGACAGGGCTTTAGGGAATACTGTGCGCCTCTGTTTTGATCGTTTCTGGTTTGCTTGCTTTTTAAAATCTTCAAAAGAGCCCTGTTGGTTGAACCAGCCATAAAATTTAAAACTTGTCTAAAAACTTTGGCGCTTCTTCATCAGCTTCACAAGTAAAACAAGATAAAGGCAAGTGCACAGTATCATACAATAAAACTTCTCTTACCACTCCTTATAATCAATTTTTACCCGGCATTCTCCCATTTAGCCAATAATGAGAACTTTGATCTATCCAGCACAAGCTAATGTATAGTTTAACTTATATTTGCGGCAAAATTTCTCCTTATTGTACTAAAAACTGCCTTATGTCAGAACTTATTAGCTTAATTCAATACTTCACTTGAGAGTTAACAAAGTCAATAATAGTAGCTAGCCCCCTCAGATATAACTGTTAGTGCATACTAACTTGAACACTTCCCTTGGACCCAACCACGACACTGGCCAAAAGGGAAATTCACAGTGTAGGCATTGTTAGCCACACAGAGCTTCTGTGACTCACACCACATACAACCTAATGCACATTCTTCGCAAGATGTCGATCTGTGGCATGACTTCTCTTTACAATTTGAACCTGTAAGAATTATATTTTTGAACGTGAGACTCTACCGTGTGTCCACTGCCCTGTGTGGACAAATTTGAACCAAATAAATTATGATCCCTTCTGTTTTATCCCAGTGTAAGGCTACATGTACATTTGACAACCCTGTTAGCTTAGTAATTTTGTTTCCATGCCCTAACACAAGACTCTTCAAGGGAAAAAAGCTGAACAACCAGGTAACTGTGTCCAGTTTCCTTGTCATTCATCCTCTCCCCAACAGAATAGCCTGGTCCCTCACTGGTTGCCCTACCTCCAATTATTGTTCCATGGTGAAATTTTTAACTACCCTCCCTTTTGGTGGAAGTTAATGATATTAAATCCGCCTTTCTCTTGGGTAAACACAATACTTTCCATATCAGCAAAGACAATTATTGCAAACAAGAAAACCATACCAAAAAAAATAAATACAAATTTGACTAAGAAAGATAGACGAGAATTAATCACAAACCTTCACATTTCTTGTATGATGTTTGCTTTTTATCACACTTTGCTGGAGAATCAATTTTTTTCTATTGAAGAGAAGAGAAAACATTTAAGGGATTTAAAACAGGAAATCAAATCATCACAAGGTCATTGATTAATTTTAAAACATCATTAACCCTTTAACCCGTGAGAGTGACTAACATCATTCTATACTTTCTCCTTACAATAACACTGCTGAATTATTCATTTGAGATCATGAAAGTAGCAGAAATGATCACCAACGAAATAAGCTCTTGATTGTTAAACAAATTCTGGAGAATAGCTTTACTAATGTTAGGTTGTAAAGAATTAAGTACAAACCTGACCATCAGGACATGCTCCTTTCACACATTTTCCTTCGCAATATGAACAGCCATGTAAACTGGAAGTACATCTACTACAACTGTCATTCATTTCTGAGCACTTTTTTCCCACTAAATTTAAACAAGGAAAAATTCAATTCCCACACACATAATAATTGTTTGGGAGTCCACTGGGGGTAACAGACCTTTAATGGAAAACTGATCTGTGCAACAAAGTTCTCACGTATTCAATTTACTGGGTGATCATAACCCCTACCTTACTCTTGGTAAATTTTAAACAATTATAGTGCACTACAAAAAATATCTCTTATCTCTTTGGGTGTGAGGTTTTGTTGGGCATTCTTCCAAGTCCAGAAATATTTTGACAAGCCCACAGGGTGAGTCAAATTACAAAAAATGAGTGGAATACTCAGCAATACTAACCACCATGCTTTTCTTATCAGGAGGAAAAAGATTACATCAGATTGGCTATTTACAGTAGAAAATAACCATACAATATAGTGCAGGATTTTTGTACTCAATTTGTGTAACTGTTTGTACTCCTCTTGGTGCAGTTGGATGATAAAAGAATGTATTGCACAATGCACATATTGCACTATACCAAAATGAAAAGTTTTAAGTTGAAAAATACAATTAATTCTCCTTTGATGTGAATTAAAAATGAATGATTTCATGTTTATGCAAGTTTCTAGACAGTCATACTGTCAGTTACTGCTGCTAAATGCACAAGAGATTATTTCACTAAAAACCATTTCTTAATTACATGTTTGGTTAAAATTAAGCCTTGGAGGAGATCAAACTAATGAAAAAAATAAAATAAAATAAAGTACAAGTACTGTTGCTGGGTTTTTATTCAAGGTTAGAGTCAAGAGAATATTCTCCTTAACTGAATTTAAGGGTAGGTCAGGCCGTTCAAATTGATATTTCAGTGAAGGAGTTACCTGTGACCTCTGGCTGTACACAACTCTCTGGTCCAATGCACAAAGAGGTGGAGTCATTCCATACGCACTCAGATGTGTTTAAGTGGTTTTGGCATGTTTCTTTATCCTTAATCAAATCACAAGGTCCTAAAACAAAATTAATAATCATAACATGTACACCTCTCAGTCATTTAGTATGGTGTCATTAGTCATAGCAAGGAAATAACCAATCAAAGTCAACACCTGTTTCTGTTCCCAGAATTCTCTAGTCACTAATTGCCATTGATTCTTATCTCTTGTGAACAAAATTAATGAAGGCCTGATTATTCAGTTTTCTTTTAAATTGTGTTTTCAGACTAATGTGCCAATAACTAATCAATATTGATGACCATCGCTATTCCATAACCATCACTCATCTGATACTGTTATGGATCTTAGTTTGCACATGGGTCATAAATCCAAGGGCAAAAAACTTGTTCTATAACTCACAGCACAGGCCTTGAGTAAGTGGCACATGCATGTTTATGTACTTAAAATGAAGAACTTTATTACATCAAAAAATTCACATGTACAGATGCTTTACAAATAGTAAGTTGAACTTCATTGCACTATTTGTAGGGCCTTGCTTATTAAGTCAAATGACAAATTATTCAACAAAACTTTTTTTGTTATTAATACTGAAATGATCTGACTTTGCACCCAGGTGCTTATTTGCTCACTGCAGCTCCAGGGAGGACACTTTTTATGGTCAGGGTGCTTATTTCTATTTTGAGAAACAGTAGTGTTTGCAAAGAAGAGCTTTGATGTTTATTAAAAGTAACAGAAGCTGAAACTGTTGAATAACAAATCTGTAGTGAATATTTTCATAGTAATGGTAGAGAATGTACTCTAGCAGTGCTATCACAGTACTGAAACAGAATAGGAGCTCTTACTGGATTAAGAGTACATGAAATATGGGCACTTTTTAGCTTAGGGGTGCTTTTTAACAAATACAAATTCCAGGGGGGCTCACAAGAGAGGGGGTGCTTACTGGAACGAGGGCACCAAATCAAATCATTTTGGTGAGCTCAATTGCACTTTTAATCAAAATTTGTATTTCATTATTGTTTACACTTTTTAAAATTGACTTCACATAACACTGGATGTGAGTTACACTTAACTACCTGGAGTGAATGATAAAATGTCACTAAAGACAACCCCTTGAAATCCTCCAAAAACATACATGGTTCTGTAATCAGAGAGAAAATAATTTTTTAATGATGGTGTACAGCTAGAATAATGAACTTTTTATAACAAGGTAAATTTTCATAATTATTGTAATTCAATGAAAACATTTCCTTTGTTTTTGAGTCAACTAATGTCATTTCATGGCCATGGGTAAACATGATAAAATTGAAACATAAAACCTACAGACATGAATTCAGCCTCCAAATTGAAAATTTACCATTGATGTAACATTAAAAAAAATATACCAAAGGCATTCTTTAGTCATGATAAAAATTATAAATGATAGGATTATCAAAGACTCCATCTTTTAACATCATACATGAACACAATTTCCCACTGCCAAAAAGTCACTGCCAGTTTGTTCTATACAATCCTGTTTTACCTGTTGACTTGCACAGCAGTGTGTCCATAACGTCCAGCAGATTTTAAAAGTCCTGACTCAGGCATCCTCTTCCACTCATCACAGGCTGAAACATCACACAGTATCAATAATATGTTGAATATTATGTGTGCAATTCAAATTTGTTTTCATTTTCCAGGTTAACTGGAAGTTAAATTGTTTCCCCGTACAGAAAAATACATTGAAAAACACCCTGACAAATAAAACATCATGGGTCAGGGTAATTTAAATGAAATTCAACAATCTTATAGAGACACTGCCCAGCAACAAAACTTTTTTTGGCTGAGAAAAGAGAAACTACAAAACTCTTTTCCTTTTCCTCATTGCCTTATATACATTTTGGGACATTTCAAGGTCTTTAAATTTGGCCAGCAGATTTCCATTTTCTTTCTTTTGGTCATTCAAGACCTGATATGAACCCTGATAGATGTAAAAGGGATCATAAGATACATGACTGTATAAGTTTACCTGGTACATATAATTGACTCAACTTACTCAAGCTGTATGCAACAAAGTCCATGGAAAAGCACGGAAAGTTAGACTGCCCCTGTGATGTACCATTGTGTGAACTACCACCAAATACTAACATCAGGTCACCCAGTAAAACAGCAGAATGCAGAAAGCGAGGAAAACTGCTGTTTCTGAGAGATTTCCTACAATAGGGTTTCACAAAAAATTAACTCTTTAATCTCTAGGAGTGACAAGCATCCAATTTCCCCTTACAATATCAACTCTGAATCAAAGATTTTGGTCACAGGAATAAAGGATATGATCACAAACCTAGAACCTACAGTAGCTAGGAAGCCTTGATCAACAATGATATTCTCCTAAAATGTATAGCGAAGAGTATGGAGAATATGGATACTGATGTTAAGGTGTAAAGGGTTAATATAAAATGTTCAATGGTACATTTATTACTCTACTGAGCTCTGCCATTGAATATTACTGAACTCTCGAGGAAAAAAGAAAAAACGTTTTAAGACTCCCCTAATAAGTACATGTACATGGCACATGATTCTGTTCAAATCCTCTTACAGGAACATACCATATCCTTGCTTTTGGATCATAAGATGTCAGTGCAGTAGAGAGCTTATCAGAACCCACTGAGGCAATCCCACCGTAAACGTAGATTAATTTCCCCACTGGATCATAAACACTGCTGTGTCCATATGATGGGGGAATAATCTCTGTGGGAGTCGTGTATATGCTCCATTTTCCAGTCTCTGAAAATAGAATTAAAAAGAAAAGTAACATGTTGGAAGCACAATTATAACACTATTTTTATGATCATGTTAGAATTATTACAACTTAAAAATCAGTATTAATCCAACAAGATTGTGTGCTTGCTACATGTAATGGATTTCACTTTTGTCTGTGAGCCCTTAGTTCAAATAATGTCCCCATAACCAGCACATACATTGGGCCATACACCTCAAAGCAGGGGAACAGGCTGGCAATTTAATCACATTTAATTGTCACTGGAAAGACAAAAAACAAACAAACAAACAATTTGAGTACAAAGCAGAATTCAGTTTAGGCAACAGTTTTCAAGGCTTCTGTCGTATGTACATGCTGTTTTGGATAGAAAGTTCAATTTACATGTGGTGGCTCCACCAACAAAATTAACTGTGCATGATAATAATGCTTCTGAAACAGCTATGTAAAGGAGCTTAAAATGACTCCACTTGTCTGTAATTGGCTATAATTTCTAGGTATGGGCAAAATTGACTGATGCACAATTGAAAGTATTTTACCCAAGTCAAATTCTTGAACTCTGTCTGTATAGCCTCTATTGGGTCCAAAACCAAACAGGACAATCATTGTGGAGTCAACCAGAGTAGCTGTGTGTCCAGCAACATAAAGAGGGGAATCACCATCACTGGTTACCAAGTCCCACTCTAGCTTTTCAGTATCGAAAGACCATAGTTGATTGGTTGCTTTTTTTCCTATTCTACCACCAAATATATACAGGGTTGACTGTGAAAATAAAATAATTATACAGAACATCAGAATGACTGTAAATTAGAAACTCATAGGGTTAGGTTGGTTAAACAATTGTCACACTCTCAAATAAATGATAAATGAATGAATGAGAGAAAAATAAATGAACAGACAGACAAACATAAAAAAAGTAAAAATAATGGATTGAATAATTGACTGACTGAAACCTGAACAGGCATTAAGTAAAACACGACTATCAACCTTTGGCCTATGCAAAATATCATTAAATTTAAACTTAGAGGGAAATACTAAGGAGAGAAGGGTGGATTGTATGAAGTAAATTAAATGGCGAGGGAACACAAATTAATAAATATAAAATATCTTAAATGATTACAAATGTTATAGTATCTTATCTTATAAGATGATTATTTGTAGACATCTTTGCATGTGCATACCAATATTCTGTGACCATTTATTTTGATGTTATCCATGATCAATAAACTGGAGTGTGATTTATTGTGAGACTAGAAATCTACTTGTTTGAATAAAACTTTCTTTTTCAACGCAATATACAATAAATAACCACTGGCACTTACATTATAAGCAATCATTGAGTGACCATAACGCCTGGATGGACCCCTGGTTGAATTGACAGCTGGCAATATTACTTGCCAACTGTCACTAGGAATGTGATATCTGGAAAATGCAAATATTGGATAATGATACATTAACATTCAGCTTTATCCAAGGTAGCCTACAGAACAAGCAAATTAGCAGGGCTGAAGTGTGATACACAAGTGTACGCAAAGCACAAGAATGAGCGCAATGCATTCTTGCCCTTCAGCATGCCAATCCACCTGTTCTGCAGGGTATATCTAAAGAGAATTCAGAAACTTATTTCTTGATCTCATTTTTTGATTGGCTCCATCAGTGCCACTTTGAAGTACATTTGTACATTCTAGTTCTGCTCCCTGACCATTCTCATTTTCAGGAGGTAACCAGACTGAGTAAAAATTTGCTACCCTTGAAGCACATGTACTTCTTGAGACCACCTAACATGCTTACAATTCTTGAAAATTCAACAGGTAAAAGGATTGCTCTAACAGTGTTAAAATTTCTTCAGGTTATGCCTATCAAAAAGGAGAAAATTGTTCTCTAACTTGTACTTATGGTGACTCAACAGATCAAGACCCATCTCATAAACTTTCTCCCTTCAACCCTAATGCACAGTCATCACTAAAAACAATTCAGCCATCCTTTAGCGACACAACTCCACCTTGATCTAGGTGTGACAACATGACTCATCAGTATTAACAAAAAAGAGTACTCTACCTGATAAGGTTCTCAAATGGCTCTGAGGTTAATGAATAGCCACCAAAGACCCACATGTAGTCACCCAGAAGAGCAGAAGCATGAGATGCTCGGCCTTGAATTAGGTCTGTATATCAAATGCAAAAAAATAAAGGCTATTAGAAAAAATTTAAAGTGAACAAATGTACCACTGTTGACTTCCTATCCACTAGGTAAGCTGATTATATCTGAATACACTTCAAAACCTTACCTTGGCCTGTTGATGAATGGTGTATCCAGTGCCCTCTGTCTCCTGTAATATTGCAAGAGGCACCTGTATGACCAGTAAAATATATTCAAGTTATTGTTCCCCAAGGTTTACATAATATGTGTTGCATTGAGTAGACAACAAGTAAAGTGGAACTGTGATTGTATGATAGAAAACTTTTTTCATGGTTTTGTAGCCAAGTGGCTCATAACTGCTGATATTTGTCTCCCATTTCTGTAAAAGGCAATTGAGAGGATCTCTCTCCCCTCTGCCTGACCCTGTGGCCTTTAACCCAGTTCCCTTACCTGTACTTTTAATTAGAATGCATTTGTACCTATAGATAGAGAGAAGTAGTGGCACTGCAATGTGTTTTGATCTTGAACACAACACAGTGATCCCCTCAGGGCTTGAATGGAGATCACCAGATCTGCAGTCCAATGTACTAATCATTACGCTCCTGCCTCTCTACATGAACAAACTGAAGAGGGGGGTAGGGTTTTGTTTATGGGGGTCAGTGGATGCATGCGACCCCCTTGTTTTTTGATAAACAACATACAAATAGTGAAGAAGCGTTAATCTGAAAAACCTTCACAGCATGCATAACTCAATGCACATCTGACAACCTAGCACTTAAAGGCCCATTTCCAACCTTGATACAACGTGCACCGTGACCCAATTTCCTGTAACACGAATTCACAGATCATTGTAAACCTTCTAAAATCGTCTTTCTCGAGAGCCATCCTGGACTTATAGTCAACTTTTTTACAGTAAATACATTTGCCATTCGTCATTTTATAGTTTCCTTACTGCATTTTGAATTTTGTCCAGAAGAATCTGGAGAAAAATTTTTTTAAGTGTCACACTTGGATCTCTTCGTATTCTGAGAACAGAGTCGGCAAAAAGGACAACATTCAAATTTTTTCACTTTCTAGAAGCTCTTGAGGATTCTAAATGAAGATAAAATAATTCCGATAGAAATTGGTATTTTTCAAAGAGAAATATGGAAAAATATCAGACTGCTGGACATTTAGTAATTCGAAGACCATGTCCAGTGAAAATTTTCTTAGTGTCATGCTTGGATCTCTTTGCACTCTGTGTACAAGGTCAGCGAAATAGACAATGTTGGAATTTTTTCACTTTCTAGAAGCACTTGAGGATTGTAAATGAAGGTAGAATATTTTCCAACGAAAAATTGGTATAGTTCAAAGAGAAATATGGAGTTATTTGAGGACTGTGTCCTGCCATGGCATTGAAAAGCTTTTAAGTGTCAAGTGTTTGGATGGCTTTGTACTCTGTATACAGGGTTAGCGAAAAACATCAAGTTCGAAATTGTAGGCTGCCTGGAAGCACTTGAGGATTGTAAATAAAGGAAAAACATTTTCGTATTAATATTTTTTGGATTTTGAAGAGAAATATGGAAAAATATTGGACAGCCAGATGTTTAATTATTTTAAGTTTGGTCACTTCATTTCAGGAATGTCAGTGACACTGACAGTTTGCATTACAATTCTTATTTCCTGCTTTGCATGGACAATGGCCTCAACCACCCTTTCGAGCGCAAGCTCCTCTCCATGGGCAGGAAACTTCAACTGACCCTTGGCCCTTGGTCTTATTTAACAAGGATGGCAAACTTCAATTTAAAAAAAATTGACGAATGGATGAAAACATGGTGGATCAACATTTTCACCTTCTTCGAAATGCTCGCAAGGATTTTTGTGTTCCTCTTTAGCAACAACCTATCCATAAGCATTTACTGCCTCAGAATCTACAAAATTAATGGATTCATCCAATTCCATGCCGGATTAAAATGTATAGAACTGTTTTAAACAGAATTATTTTGACAAGCTCTTCAATTCATCGGAGAAAACGTAGAAGGTATTTTAAGACAACGTGACAAGGTAAAAATAACTAACCAATCAGAGGCACTATTTAAACAAAAGCGGTGGTTCAAAACAAAAACAAACAACTGTGTTGCATCAAGGTTGGAAATAGGCCTTTAAATAAAACACAGAGTGGATGTTGACAGAGCAGATTGGTAAGAATCATATTCCTTTGAACAAGTGCTCATGCTCTAATAAGTGCCCTTCCCCAAATATGCGCTCATTCCCACTGTATTTAATTAATGTCATATAAGCACCCCCTTCTCCCTCACAATCCTAAATTATGGTAGGGATACATGTATAAGGAAAACCTGTTTCTAATTAAAACTTTTTGAGCTTTGACTTCAGCAGAATGCGTTATGGAGAATAATAAGCACCCCCCTTAATTAAGCACCCTCCTTCCAATAAATGCCTCTCTTTTTAGCCAAAATTTTTAAATATTAAAAAGCAACAGGGCATTTATTCAAGGGAATACCTTAACCCAGGAGTAGCATGGTGTAAATGCCCTCAGAAAAATCCTAGCTATGCCCACGATACATACCCACCAAAGTTACTGTAGTACATTGCAACAGTTTGGAAACCAGAAATTAAGACAGAAAGTTGCCAACTTGAAACCAGTTGACGAAAGTGAAAGAAAGAGGACTGACCGTGCAATTGAAAACAATTGATTTAGGAGAAAATAAAAACACATGTAGGAAAATTACACACTCAGAAAAATGTTGAACAGACAGCGAAAATGGAGGTGTTATAAAAATTCAAACTTACCAGTGAATCCCGAGTCACACACACACAGTCTTGTGCTGTTATCACAGTATCCATTGACACACTCAGTTATACAGGTCTGAATATCACAACTGGGACCAGTCCATCCTGCATGACAGACACATAGTTCATTTGAATCACAGTGGCCATGGAAACTGCATCTTGCTGAACAATCTTTGGTGATGCTAAAAAGAGAAAATAAGATGAGAAAATTGTTGACATCTCAAACATACTGCCAAGTCTATGCAACCCTGATATCAGCCACCTGCCAGAAGGGAAAGAGCACAGGTACTGACCCATCGCACTAGTGAAACTGACAAAACCTGATGGGGAAAAAAGCAGGGCACCCTATTAGCAGCACCCCCACATTCAACTTCAAGCACCAGCAAAAGCTAACTGAATGCCAAATACCATGTACTGTCTACTTAGCTCTGAAAGAAAGTGCACACCCCAGAGCTACTGAGGGTATGATCTTTGTTGAGTGTATGTGACCTATGCAGTTCAGACAGCTATACTTCAACTAAAATAATGAAGCAACACCAAAGCTTACCTATATCTTATCCTGAATCCATCTTCAACATAGTATTTATCACTATAAAAATAGAGAAATGCTGCCCCTGATTTGGCTTCAAACTGTAGCACCGGACCATCAGCGAATCTGTCTTTCGATGCATCTCTAATAATTCCACTGTATAATGGTATAAATAACATGTAGAAAACCTTTCACACCTAACAACTTGAAGTATGAATGCTTAAGAGTCATAACAATATCCACATAAAAGGTCAGTTTTAAAGGTTCTCTGTTGGCAAGAATTATGACATAATTAAATAGGGTCTAAGTAGGGTAATTGAATGGTGAGTCTTAAAGGTGAAGTAGACAGCCAGTTCTGTTAAAAAAATACTGAACCATGCACAGAGAACATATGTATGCTATGAAAAGGCAAATCTTAACGTTCAGCTGGGGGATAGTCAACAGTTTACAAAGCCATGCTTGCAATACTTGACAATAACATTTTGACAGCAAAAAATTTATGCAGAACAGATTAGTCAAGAGTGTCCAAAGAGTTGTGCTGAAGGTCATTGTATTGCAGACACCTTACTTTCCATCCACATGCTACAAGGGAGTTTAGTTTTGTTCTCACTCCTGACCCGAAGAGCACAAATGCAATTTTCAATCAATATGATGAATGGGTCATGATCTGTCTGGTAAAAGAACTTTGCCATTTGTGTGTATTATATCAGTTAACATTGCTCAATACCTTATCACGGCTATTAAAGGACTTTTGACAGATTTTCCATCATAAATATACAAATTATCCCAAATACACTCAGTTGCAACTTCTTCCAAATTCAAATGAATAGTGCTATTTGGCCTGCAAATTTTAAAAATAAATTCTAAATTAGTTTCTATAAACAGCCACTGTCAGTGCAAAATACATCTTGGTTCTCTAGGTGTATAAATAGTGCAAATAAAAACAACTTGGGCATCACCACAGGAGTGCTACCAATAAAATGCAATATTACAGCAAAGTCAGTGTACAACCTCTCCCCCACCTCCTTTTATGAATTATTCTGACATGCAAGTTTAGAAACATGTCACAACCAGTTATAAATTATATTTTATTATTATAACACAAGGAAATAAAGAAACTACAAAGACAGAACAAGGCAGAAGGCAGCAGACAAGCATAAATTAAAGAGGAGGTTTTGAACATCAGATATCTGAAACTTTGGGTTTTTCAACTACTACAAGGAAATGCAAATAAGTATAAGAATGCAAGCTCAGTGTAAATAAAACTGTTGAAGCTTTATAAAATAACTGACTTTTTGAATGAATGCTTTTATGGGTAGAACACAATTTCATAAGAAAACATTAATCTAAAAGATACCAACTTACTTTTTGGATTCTATTAGCCATGAGCATTTTGATGCACTGGCATATTTACCATCTCCATCAGTAATTATTCCACTATCTTGGTCCAGTCTAAAATTAAGAAATCAAACCTACATCACTATAACTATCAACTCTAAAAAATATTTAACTAAAATATTAAATATTAAATTTTGCCACAGTAGAACCTTCAAACAAAACCACCTCGAGGACAGAGAAAAAAAGGCTATTAGGGAGTAAGGAGTGTAATATAACATCTGTATTTTGTGACTGACATGTTTTACAACACTTTATTTACCAAATAGATTCCAAGTTGTCATGCATCTGTGCTCTACTATAGATAATTTTTATATGCAAAATGCAGTATGCAATATTAGTAATTTTGCAATAATAGATTTTTAACTAGTTTGTAGTTAGTTTGTAATAAATCCCTCCGATGAATATGCTAATAAACCATTATTATTATTACTATTATTATTAAGATGACCTCAAGTTGTGATAAGGAAAAAAAGTAGCACATGATGGGCAGCAGAATATCACTGATGTTCTTACCATATTTTGACGTCTTCTCTAACAATTAATGCAAAGTAGAATCTATTTGTTTTGTTTGATAAAAAACAAAATGTTCAAGTGGTGACATCATCAATGCATCTGTCCACCAATATATAATAAGTAAGAACCAATCAAAATGCCTGTAAAAATTCAGCTTATCATATAATTCTTCCACATAAGTGTTAATACAATAGCAATCAACTCATGGATGAAAAAAAAAACAAAATGCTAGACAAAATGCTCACAGAACTATCAAAACAAGTCAGGTAAAGTGAACTGTCTGGCTTGCGAAATATTACCTTTGGTATTGCGGATGCTGTATTTTCTCCAAAAGATTTGAATACAGCTGTC